CCCAGCTAATTTTTTGTATTTTTAGTAGAGACGGGGTTTCACCATGTTGACCAGGATGGTCTCGATCTCTTGACCTCGTGATCCACCCGCCTCGGCCTCCCAAAGTGCTGGGATTACAGGCGTGAGCCACCGCGCCCGGCTTGGGTGATGACTTTTTATGATAAAGTGACTTGGTGCACTGACTCTGGAACCAGAGTGCCTGTGGTTGAAATCCCATCTCCACCACTTAATACCTGCATGATCTTAGGGAAGTTAATCTCTCTGTGCTTCATCCTGCTTATCTGTAAAAGGGACTAGGGGATAGAGAGGGCTGTCACATAGTGATATGGATGAAATGAAAGTGGTCTTTCTTTCTTTTCTTTCTTCCTCCCCTTCCTTCCTTCCTTTCTCTTTCTCTCTTCTTTCTTTCTCTCTTTCTTTTCTTTCGTCTTTTAAATTTTTTTATACAGACAGGGCCTCCCTATGTTGCTCAGGCTGGTCTTGAATACCTGGCCTCAAGGAATCCTCTCGCCTCAGCCTCCCAAAGTGCTAAAATTACAGGCGTGAGCCACCACAACCAGCCGTGTTTATTACTACTTCCGCTAGATTGTCAACTCCATGAGGTTGAGGTTTTCTGTCTTCTTTAGAGTTTCTACTCAGAGCCTGCCACAAAGCATGTGCTCAAGAAAAATTTCCTGAATGAGTAAATTGGGTTGAAATCCTTGGGAGTGGGGCTCAGTGGGCTGGAATCCCGATTCCTGCGTCGGACTCCAGGCCACTGGGCGGCGTCCTGGGGTCTGGGGCAGGGCCTCCCCCTGCGCCGAGAGCGTCCCCGAGCAGACCGCGGCTCAGGCCGCGGTCCCGGCCCTGAGCCCCTGGGGCACTCTCGGGGCTCCTCCCCCGGCGGGCGCGTGGCGCCGACCCCGCCACGGCTACTGCAGCGGCAATCCGGGAGCCGGCCTGGCGGGGCAGGGCGGAGCCTACGCTCAGCCCGGCCTCTGCTCACCTCATCGACGGGGGACGGAAGTCTCGGTCTCGCTCGATTCTCGGAGGGTCAGGTCTCGCCCACGGGGCAGCTGGGCCTGGCCAAACCTGGGCGCGCTTCCGCGCGGAGGCGCCATGAAGCGCGCGGGGACTCTGCGGCTGCTCTCGGACCTGAGCGCCTTCAGCGGCGCGGCCCGGCTCCGAGAGCTGCTGACCGGGGACCCAGCGGTCCGAGTCCGCGGCAGCCCGAACGGCCGCCACCTGCTGCTTCTGCGACCCCCGGGGGCGCCAGCCCCGCAGCTGCTGGTCGCGGGGCGAGGGCCGGGCGTAGAGCTGGAGCTGGCCTGGCCGGCCTGCCAGCTCTCCCCGCTGGACGCCTTCTTCCTGTCGTGGCCAGCGCGGCCGGCTCTGGTGTTGGTGTGGGAGAGTGGCCTGGCCGAGGTGTGGGGCGCGGGCGTGGGGCCTGGCTGGCGGCTGCTGCAGAGCACTGAGCTGTGTCCGTGCGAGGGAGCTCGCGTGGTTGCCGTGGCGGCGCTCCGAGGCCGTCTGGTGTGGTGCGAGGAGCGGCAGGCCGGGTTCGAGGGCCCGCTAGGGCGGCCCGCAGCTGCTTTCAGCCACTGCGTGTGCGTCCGAACCCTGGAACCCGGCGGGGAAGCTGGCACCAGCCTAGGCCGCACACACGTACTGCTGCACCACTGCCCCTCTTTTGGGCTGCTGGCCTCCTGCAGACACCTCTTCTTGGTGCCCACTGCCACCACCTGGTCCGGCGTGGCCCACGTTCTACTCATCTGGAGCCCAGGCAAGGGCAAAGTGATGGTGGCTGCCCCACGGCGTGGCCTCTCCTACAGTAAGAGTCTGAATTCTGGACGAGGGGATACATGGGACTTCCGGACCCTGCTCCGAGGCCTTCCTGGGTTGCTGTCCCCCAGGGAGCCACTGGCTGTACACACCTGGGCCCCAACTCCCCAGGGCCTCCTGTTGCTTGACTTCGGGGGCACTGTGAGCCTAGTGCAATCCCACGGTGGTACCCGGGCTGTGGGCACCCTGCAGGAGGCGCCTGTAGGTCCACGGGGGTCTGCAGCCCTAGGCACATTTCAGGGCACTCTGGCCTGTGTGCTGGGCTCCACCTTGGAACTGCTGGACATGGGCAGTGGGCAGCTGCTGGAGAGAAAGGTCCTAAGTACAGACAGGGTACATCTGCTGGAACCCCCAGCCCCCGGCATGGAGGATGAGGAAGAGCTAGAGACCCGCGGGAGTCTTCGTCTGCTTTCAGCCTTGGGTCTGTTTTGTGTGGGCTGGGAAGCCCCACAGGGTGTTGAGCTGCCTTCAGCCAAGGACATGGTGTTTGAGGAGGCCTGCGGGTACTACCAGCGACGGAGCCTACGGGGTGCCCAGCTCACCCCAGAAGAACTGAGACACAGCAGCACATTCCGGGCACCTCACGCTCTGGCCTCTATCCTCCAGGGCCACCTGCCCCCATCTACACTGCTGACCATGTTGAGGACTGAGCTTCGGGATTATCGAGGCTTAGAGCAGCTGAAGGCCCAGCTGGTGGCCGGGGATGATGAGGAGGCTGGCTGGACTGAGCTGGCAGAGCAGGAAGTGGCACGCTTGCTGAGGACCGAGTTGGTAGGAGACCAGCTGGCCCAGCTCAACACCGTTTTCCAAGCCCTGCCTACCGCAGCCTGGGGTGCTGCCCTCAGGGCCCTGCAGCTCCAGCCAGATGGGAATGGCAAGCTAAGGTCCCAAGCACCCCCTGATGTGTGGAAGAAAGTGTTAGGGGGAATAACCACTGGAAAGGAACCCCCCAATGGAATACTGCCCCCCTTTGAACTCCTGTGCCAATGCCTGTGCCGGCTGGAGCCTCGATGGCTGCCACCCTTTGTGGAACTGGCACAGCAGCAGGGTGGGCCGGGCTGGGGGGCAGGGGGCCCGGGACTGCCCCTGTATCGCCGAGCCCTGGCAGTGCTAGGTGAGGAGGGGACCAGGCCTGAGGCACTGGAGCTAGAACTGCTCTTGAGCAGTGGGCGGCCCAAAGCTGTGCTCCAAGCTGTTGGGCAGCTGGTGCAAAAGGAGCAATGGGAGCGGGCTCTGGATGCTGGCCTGGCCCTAGGCCCCTCCAGCCCCCTGCTTCGAAGTGAAATCTTCAAACTGCTGCTAGCTGAGTTTGCCCAGCACCGCCAGCTTGATGCTCACCTCCCCCTGCTTTGCCGCCTGTGCCCACCAGGACTGGCTCCAACTGAGCTCCTGCTTCTACTGCGGACATACCTCCCAGATGAGGTGGGGCCCCCTGCCCCATTCTCTGAGCCTGGAGCAGAGCCCTGTCTTACTGTGGGCTTGCTCAAAGCCCTGCTGGAGCAGACTGGGGCTCAAGGATGGCCTTCGGACCCAGTTCTAAGCCCATATGAGGACATACTGTGGGACCCCAGCACTCCACCCCCCACTCCACCTCGGGACCTATGACCACCCTCCAGGCATCAGACCGCTCAGGGCCTGGAGGCTTGCTTGGGCACCATGTGGACAGGTACTGTGTCACTGACAGAGAAAATCATTTCTGGGACACAGTTATCAGGGAAAGATGCCTGGGACTTGGAGAGGCCTATGGTGGACCAGTATATGCAAAACTCTTCTGTCTTCTGGAACTATTTTTAAGATAAATGTGTGTGTTAAATATATACACAGTTTAATATATACACTGTTGTGTGTTTTTAAACAGCTGTGAGTCTCAGAGGATACAGGTTATAGAGGGAGTGGTTGGATACGGATCTTTTGGCCAAAAGTGTCCACTTCCAATCATGAAAATAGTTAGCATTTATGAGCATTTAATGCTTCTTATAACCCCCGTGGGGAAAGTACTAATGTTATTCCCATTTTACAGAAAATAAAAGTTTGGAAAAATTAAATGACCAAGATCATTCAGCTAGAAATTAGCATCTCAAAGATTGGAGCCACCTCACTGAATAGACCAGTAGTTCCCACCTGCTTGGGCTTGGATGTGCTCCCCATGCCTGGCTCCATGCTGGCTTCTGGGGCCTGCTGAGAGGAGGGGGACTGCAGAGCTCTACCCTTCCTTTCTCCAGGACTCCTCTGCTCCAGAGTAGGAACTGTGCTGGGCCCTGGGTCCTTGCCTGTCTCCACCAGGATTTCTGGGGCAGCCACTAGTTTAGGGAAAGATTAGCCACAGACAGGAGAGCTGCCTGCAGAGCTCTCTGGCTCAGTAACAAAATTCACTGGGAACAGAACTACTTGGAGAGCCCCATATTCCTGCTGACTTCCCCCAAGTCAAGAAATAACAGCATCGGCTGGGCGCAGTGGCTCAAGCCTTTAATCCCAGCACTTTGGGAGGCCGAGGCGGGTGGATCACAAGGTCAAGAGATCGAGACCATCCTGGTCAACATGGTGAAATCCCGTCTCTACTAAAAATACAAAAAATTAGCTGGGCATGGTGGCGCGTGCCTGTAATCCCAGCTACTCAGGAGGCTGAGGCAGGAGAATTGCCTGAACCCAGGAGGCAGAGGTTGCGGTGAGCGGAGATCGCACCATTGCACTCCAGCCTGGGTAACAAGAGTGAAACTCCGTCTCAAAAAAAAAAAAAAAAAAAGAAAAAGAAATAACAGCATCTACAACACAGATCTCTGTCTGGATTTATTCAACAGGCTCACCTCTGAAGAGTCCTTCACCCTATGCCCACTTCTACCCAAGTAACGCCTCAGCCTACCTTAGGATAGACCCTGGTTCTGACTTAGGGTAGGACCCTGGATGCAGCTACTCAGCATCATCCCCAGTCCCAGATACCCCTTGTCCAGGCCTGAGGCCAAGGTTAGGGCTGCCATTCAGCTTTGTCCTCAGCTGGGACCTGCAGCTTAGATTCTGCTAGCCTTAATCTGGATTTACAGTGGACTCAGGCTAGGACTAATGAGACTAGGCACAGTTCCTGTCTCTAGGGAGAGAAGTAGCTACTTAGACTTATCCATGGCTGGTGTTAACTCTTCAGCCTCATGGAGGTCCTGAGGTGACTCATCTACATGGCCAAGTCCTGAGGTACCATCTTGGCCTCCTCTGGAGCTTGGATGTCCCTTGTCCTGGCCCTCAAGCCAGACTGCCTACCAATAGCCGGAGTCAAGCTCCTGCTCTTCCCGGAGGCCCATGGCTAGGGACAGTTCCAATCCTGGCCTCCACCTCAGCCCCTTCCTGGTCTGGGAGGAATTTCTCTTCTTGGTCTTGAAACGGGTCATCATGGCTCAGTGGGAAGCTGCTTCTTGTTCGTGATCCTGCTCAATCATTGTTGCATCTTCTCAAATCTCCCAAGCCTGAGATTTGGCTTGGTCGTCCTGTGCCTGGAAGAGAAGGAATTCTACTTAGTGGGCTCCTGGGGGTATGGGCAAGGGAAGGAGGCCAGGTTTTTCCTTCAGGTTATATGATTCAAGGAAGTTCCCTGGGACCATCCACTAGTAGAGCCTCCAGATTGAAGGCCACCCAGCCAGCCTGGCAGCTCTGAGCGGCGCAGGTGGGCTTAGATGGTGACTTTTACCTGCTTTGACAGGCTTGGTGCTTGATCACACTAGCCTTATCCCTCCCTTCAATGTGGAGGGTGCAGGTGATCCCAAATTACGTCTCAGGACTTTGGAAGACAGTTCAGGGATACAGGGATCATCTGTGACTGAGTTTTGATGGAGTTTCTGAGAGGACTATCAGACAGACAGAGGTCTCTGAATAGGTAGGTGGAGATCTGAAGTCTGAGGTCTTTGGTTGATAGGGAGGGTCCCTGGACAAGATGCTGGGACCTGAGGAAATGAGAGATTCAGAAGCTAAAGTCCTTGGCCTTGGGTACCTGAGAAAAGTAAGTAAGTTCTGACATTGATGGGTTTCATTTTTGCTTCTGTTTTTAAGAGATAGGATCTTGCTCTGTTGCCCAGCCTGGAGTGCAGTGGCTTATGGGCTCAAGTGACCCTCCTGCTTCAGCCTCCCAAGTAGCTGGAACTACAGACGCAGGCCACTGTGCCTAGCTTGGTTGCCTTTTTTCTTTCGTTTCTTTTTGAGAGAAATTCTTGCTATGTTGCCCAGGCTGGACTTGAACTCCTAGACTCAAGGAATCCTCCCACCTCAGCCTCCCAAGTACCTCAGATTTTAGGAACATGCCGCCGCACCGGGCTGCTGAAGGTTTTGAGTGGTGGACAAGGTTTCAGATCCAAGGTTCTGAGGCAGGAGAAGTACAAGGGTCTGAAGTCCCTGGGAAGGTGAGGGGAGAATCCTAGGCCAGTGGGTAGGAGCATTTACGTAGGTATGCCTCGCCTCAGGAGCTCTCTCAGGTTCACATGGCAGTAAAGCTAGGCACAAGGAGTGCTACACAGTAGTCCCAGCAAGCATCCTGGGTGAAGGAGAGGAAGCAGGGCGCAAGGCTCCTCCAACTGCCTATGTGGCCTTAGGGACCCAAGCCTCCCTTTCACTTTTTTTTTGTTGATGGGGAGACAGAGTTTTGCTCTGTTGCCCAGGCTGGAGTGCAGTGATGCGATCACAGCTCACTCCATCTCGCCAGTTCAAGTGATTCTCCTGCCTCAGCCTCTCGAGTAGTAGCTGGGATTACAGGCATGTGCCACCATGCCCAGCTAATTTTTTTTTTCTTTTTTTGTATTTTTAGTAGAGATGGGGTTTCACCATATTAG